TGTACAGACACTAACCGCCTGAAAATAAATAAGTAAATCGCAAACTCTGGAGAACTGAACCCAGAGGTCTGGAGAAATGAGGAGCTGAAACGGATGTACAGTGGTACCTCGGGTTACATACGCTTCAGGTTACATACGCTTCAGGTTACAGACTCCGCTAACCCAGAAATAGTACCTCAGGTTAAGAACTTTGCTTCAGGATGAGAACAGAAATTGTACTCCGGCGGCATGGCAGCAGCGGGAGGCCCCATTAGGTAAAGTGGTGCTTCAGGTTAAGAACAGTTTCAGGTTAAGAATGGACCTCCGGAATGAATTAAGTACTTAACCCGAGGTACCATTGTATTCCTTTTCCTAGGACTCATCAACACAAAAGAAGCAGGTGCAGCTACACTTCTCCAGTGTAGCATTTATTCCCCGCCCCCCTTCCATCTGAAAGCCTTTTAGGCTGCCCGGGAGCTCTGTCCTGTGGCTGTAACATAACTGTGACCTTTGCCCTTGGCTCCGATACGATCAAGGAGATTGGGTTGCTGCAGTAAACAGCTTATTCCTTTGGCTCTTAACAGGGCTTAGCAGAGTTCCTCCAACTTTTTATTTTATTTTTTTAATTGATCAGAATAATAACAAACATTGGCACAGACCAGAATGCTAACAATGAGAATGTGTTGGAAGTGAAAATTGTGTGGTGAATGAAGTAGGGCTCAGGTGCCTGAAATGTCACCACACCCCTCTAAACTGCCCATCTTCAAAGAGGCAGGAGATGATCTAGCACAGCCTACAGAGATCGCGTTCCTATTCTGGTTCTCTCCACTGCAAAAAGAGAGAGAAGAAGGTAGGATTGTGTGAGCTCCAGAAAGGAAACAAAAGAAGCACAGGAGAACGATAATTTGAAAACGACTTCATGTGTAACTTTGTGAGGGGCGAACCACAGTACTTTGAATTCTTGGAGGGAAAGAATGTGCTCCGATTGTGCTTTGAAGGCATTGTGTGTGTGCACACCTAGTGTGGAAATTCCCAGGACAGCTTCACTTGAGGCATCTGCAGGGCAGCAATAGCATTCAGCACTAGTACACCAGGTCACTGGCTTAAGGGTACGGAGTGCCCAAGGCAGGGGCTCTGCTTGCTTGCTTGCTTAAATCTCTTTGAAGTTCCTCAGAGTGCTGGACATAGTTATGCATTACAAGATCACCAGGCCTGTAGGTTGCTTGTCCTGGATTCCAAAGAGTTTCTGCTTAGAATCGTTGACTTGAGCTCTAACCTGCTGCCCATGCAAGAAATCTGCTGCAGGAAACCAGAGATGTGGCCACCATCCAGCCTCTGCTTAAATACCTCTAACGAAGGAGAGCCTGCCAATTTCCAAAGCAGGTTGATTCCTAGTTTGAAAAGCTCGTACCACCTGGAAATCAAAATCCTTTCTCCTATCATTCCTATCCTGATGAATAAGAGAGAACGGATTGGTTGGGTCGTCTATCTCAGAGGTTGGGGACATCAGGCCCAGGTCTCATGAGCTGGGGCTCAGGACTCTCCCAGGGTCCCACCTCTTATAGACCAAGCTCCATGCCCTCTAAGAGGACTTTTGCCTAGCTGAAATGTCTCCTTGAACAGAGAGGTGGGTGTGGGTGTGCAACAGGCATAGGCAAACTCGGCCCTCCAGATGTTTTGGGACTACAACTCCCATCATCCCCAGCTAACAGGACCAGTGGTCAGGGATGATGGGAGTTGTCATCCCAAAACATCTGGAGGGCCGAGTTGGCCTATGCCTGGTGTAGAAGCTTATGACTTTTGTGAGGAACGTCTACTGTACAGAGGTAGGCACTCATAGCCATTATTCCACCTGCTTTTGCCTCTAGCCCCGTCCATCACTAGGTTGCCCAAAACGTTGCCCATGAGAAAATGCATCCCTCAGGCAGAAGGTTCCCTACTCCATATCTGTTATTAGTCATTTATTACCTACCTCTCCCAGGACAGGCCAATCTCAAAATCCAGCATTAAAACCAGTTAAAACCAGTTACAGTTATGGGAATAGGGTGGGTCCCTGTAAACACACATCTCAGGCGTCAAAGTCCTCAGTAAATAGATGGGTTTTCAGCCTCTCAAATATGTCTATCATTGCCTCTTAATCACGTCATCTCCAGAATTGATCTGTCTAACCCCTTAAGCCATAAATCATAGGACTCAATCTTCAGATCCCCTCACCATCTTTGTCGCCCGAAGGTGAGTGAGAACACCAGAAGATCCCTGATGTGACCCAAGGCTGAGGACCCATCTAATCCAGCACTCTGTTCTAACAGTGACCCGTCAGATGGGAAGGCTGCCAGCGGAACCTGAGCAAGACATCATTCTCCTCACCTGTGATGCCCTGAAACTGGTATTCAGGGGCATGATGCTTCTGACCATGGAGGTTGGTCACTAGGGCACTGGCCAGGCAGGTACGTGGCTGTCACTGCCAATAGCTTAGCCAAGCAGAAGTCTTCAGTTGACAAAGTGTCCCACTCAGGTGTCCTCGGTGGCTAGGAGTGCCTTTTTTACCAACTTTGTTTTTTTTTATAATATATTTATTAAGATTTTTAAAAAATATTACAATAAAAATGGGGGGGGAATGACAAAAATACAAAATAAAAATAGTTTAAAACACACAGATTTTCCATTACTTATTTTCCTTTGACTTATTTCCCGGACCTCCTCATACCTCCCTTTTTTGTATTCCACTTCAATCTGTTGGTTCAGCAAATCCTTTAAAAGTAATAATATTAAATTTTTACCTATTTATAACGCTTTTTTCATATTCCCTTAAAGCATTACAGCTGGAAACCACTTAATTACTATCCATATCATTCTAACATTCATTAATTTTACAATATTTCTGTAGATAATCTTTGAATTTCTTCCAATCTTCTTCCACCGACTCTTCTCCCTGGTCTCGGATTCTGCCAGTCATTTCTGCCAGTTCCATATAGTCCATCACCTTCATCTGCCATTCTTCCAGAGTGGGTAGATCTTGTGACTTCAATACTTTGCAATGAGTATTCTTGCTGCTGTTGTGGCATACATAAAAAGTTCTGTCCTTCTTTGGCACCAATTGGCCGACTATGCCTAGGAGAAAGGCCTCTGGTTTCTTCAAGAAGGTATGTTTAAATACCTTCTTCAGTTCATTATATATCATTTCCCAGAAGGCCTTAATCCTTGGGCACGTCCACCAAAGGTGAAAGAATGTACCTTCAGTTTCTTTACATTTCCAGCATTTATTGTCGGGCAAATGATAGATTTTTGCAAGCTTGACTGGGGTCATGTACCACCTGTATATCATTTTCATAATATTCTCTCTTAGGACATTACATGCCGTAAACTTCATACCTGTGGTCTTTTTTACCAACTTTGGTTGGTTTGACAGCTGTGGCCATTCCTAGAAGAGGACAACTTGGCCATAGTTGTCCATACATTGGATTACCACAGTGCACCCTGTGTAGGGCTAGCCTTGCTGTTGGTCTGGAGGCTACAGCTGGTGCAGAACATACAGTGAGCTTACTACCACTAGCATATAACACCCTGCTTGCAGGATTCACCTGGGCTGCCACTCTCCTACCAAGCCAAGTTGAATATTTTGGGACTAATATTGCAGGCCTTTTACAGCTTGGGACCAAGTTATTGCCCTATCTCTCATGCACCCAGTAGATTGCTGCAATATGCAGGACAGTTTTCCCTAAAAGATTCAAAGCCGCTCAGGGCTTTTACTGTGTCTGCTGTTGTTCAGTAGAATAGCATTCCCATCACGATGTGACAGATGCCCATTATCTGAACTTTCCTGAAGCAACTGAAGACTTTTTTGTTGTCGTTCTGACAGGTTTTTCCCAGCTGGGTAAACGGGACTTTACCACGAGTTTCTACATGTTAGGTTTTTAGTCTTAAGTATGTTTGCTGTACGGGACGTGGGTGGTGCTGTGGTCTAAACCACAGAGCCTAGGACTTGCCAATCAGAAGGTCGGTGGTTCAAATCCCCGTGATGGGGTGAGCTCCCGTTGCTCAGTCCCTGCTCCTGCCAACCTAGCAGTTCGAAAGTACGTCAAAGTGCAAGTAAATAAATAGGTACCACTCCTGCGGGAAGGTAAACGGCGTTTCCGTGCACTGCTCTGGTTCGCCAGAATCAGCTTAGTCATACTGGCCACATGACCCGGAAGCTGTACGCTGGCTCCCCCGGCCAATAAAGCGAGATGAGCGCCGCAACCCCAGAGTAGGTCACGACTGGACCTAATGGTCAGGGGTCCCTTTACCTTTATATTTGCTGTATTTGTGTTTTTAACTGTTTGTAATAATCTTATATGCAAATTGCTTTGGAATGATTGCATAGAATATCATTAATAAATCAATGAGTAATAATAACAACAATCATATTGAACTCGGTGGGGCTTATCTCCAGGTAAATGGGGTCAGGACTGTAGGCTTTGTCACAATTTTCTTTTGGGACATTGAGGCCAGGCTGTGAAACATCCCAGCATTTGAAACATTTTCTTCCACCCAGAGGGAATGAGTAAATAACTGTATTTTCTGTTGTTTAAATTCTTACGGTATATTTCTAGCACAGAGAAGAACAACAAGTGTCCTTTTATAGTGTTATAGTGTTTTTCTCTTGACTACAATGTGAAAGTTTAACTAGAACGAAACAGGTGTGCTTTGGCTCCATAAATTTCAGAACGAGAACAAGGAGTTGCATTTGGGGGGGTGGCTTTGCTTTAGCTCTGCTACAGACATCTCCAGAAGGCCACACTCTTGTCTCGAAGCTATACTTTCCATTATTGTTGCCGCTTGCAAAACTTTGGATGGAACAAGTTTTTCTAGCAAAAGAATACAGATTTTTATCTTTAATGGTGCTTGAGCAGCCTATCATTTGGCTTCAGGAAACAGCTTCCTGGTTCTAAACACTTGCGAGTCGAGTGGCTGCCAGACAGTCAGCTTCAAAGGCTGGCAGTAGAGACTGCTGTTGCTGAGTCTAGGGGAGGGATTTTGAAATGCTGAGAGCTGCAGAGGATGTCAGCATGGAACAGGAAGCCTTGGGTTCTCAAAGTGGTGAAATGGTCAGCTGGGACATCAATGACATCAAGCTCCCCAAGGTAGGTATATAGAATTCCAAGAGTATTGTAGAAATTGCAGCTACTCTAAAAACCATCATATTCTGTCATTATATTATAATATATTATTGATTTGCTTACTTGATCATTCATTTGCATAATTCCATCAGTGTATGCACAACAGATAATACCTCTTTGCTGCCATTGTGCTTTATAATTCCCTTGCAGTTGAAAACTCTTGAAACTCAAGTCAGAAGTTCAGCAGTGACAGCTCAGTTGGTTTTAGCATGGTGCTGATAATGCCAAGGTTGCAAGTTCAATCCCTGTGTGGGACAGCTGCAAATTCAGGCGGTTGGACTAGATGATAACAATATTACTTACTGTTTTTATTTCTTTACTATATTATTTCTTTAAGTCATTTGTATACCGCTAAATTATTTGTAACTCCAGGTGGTGTACATTTTTAAAAATCCACAGCCAACAGGGTGATGAAACAAAAAAAATCATAAAACCTGAGAATTTTTTTAAAAAGATTATATCCATCTCAAAAAAGAAATTCAATGTGACAAACGAAGTGAAACAACAGCAATTCAATGTTTTAAAGTCATGGGTGGTAATCAACTAAGTTTTACTCAGAGTAAACCCATTGAAATGGATAGCCCTAGCTTAGTTGTGTGCATTAGTTTTCATGGGTCTACTCTGAGTGAGTAAAATGTAGTTGCATGCCACCCAGTATGCCACCCACTTTTACTTACTACAACAGTAATAAAAAAAAAAACACCCATGTTACTATGACAATTGTCAACAATGATGATTTCTGGAAACAGTCAAAAGGCAAACTGTGCTTTAAACAAAAAGGCTAGAAAAGAAAAGATTCATCAAAAGTTTTTGAAGATTCAAATTTTTGCCTGTTACCTAAAATGAAAGAGCAACAGGTCCTAATGGATTTTGGTGGGGAGATTGTTCTGCTATAGGGTGGCTGCAACTGAGTTGAATTCATTTGGTCAAAATGGGTTTGGCGGTAGCTTGAATGAGATTCCCAGCAAAGGTTGGTCATTCGGCACATATATCGTGTTACCTTCTTTGACTGCATGCCACCAGGGACTTCTGGGCATTGTGCAAGCCTCATGGAGGCGCATGAAAATGCACTCATAACTGCTCAAAACTGAAATATTTTTAAAATACGTCTTCAATTTCTAAACATTGTCAAATAAAACATATATTATAGCATTATTAGACTGTAATTAGAGCTAAATGTTAACAGGGTAACTTAAGCTGAAGTTGCAACAGGAATTTGATAGGTGTTATTGACAAATACGTTGTGAGGGTCTTAGTTCTGGGACCTCTGGACTTTGCAAAAGTTAAGAGCCTTTGCATCACACTCATTCCAATGCGAAAAGAAATTAAGTCCTGTGAAATAAAAAGTTAAGGAGAGTGAAGAAAGTGAAAAACCCATTGAGATGTTAAAACCTATAGGATTTGGTTGGATCATGCCTAGTATAGAAAACAATCCTAGCTCTATAAGTAGACTTTGTTCAAACAATATCTTTGCTGTGGGAGTAATGACTGTTGCCTCCAAAGACATCTTGTGGTTTCTATGCAAAATTCTCATATTTATGGTAGATCCCAATCAGCTGTAGCACATGCAGGCTGGAGTGTTTCATTCATGTTTACAACCATCCATGTCACAGAAACCATAAATTTTCATGATGTCAACTTGTGGTTAGATAATAGTTGACAATATCTGAGATCCAACCACTAGCAAGCCACAGTGCCGTGAATGGATATACAGGTATCTATGTTTTTCTGTGTCAAAAGTTGCCAGAACAGATATAGTGCTTGATCATTTTCCCTGAATTTATTTCTTTATTTGATTAGATTTCATACCCACTCTTTATCATACAGTCCCAGGTTGAGTGGCAACAATAAAAAATAAAATTATAAAATAGAAAAGCATAAAAAATTGAAAACACTTCCACATATAAAAACAATACAAATATTTTAAAAGAATTCCACGTTTAAAAATAGTTCTAGTACACCAGTGGAACTGGGGTAAAGTAAATTGAAAAAGTAATTTGTAATTTTTATGCAGGTGATCTTGAAAGGTTGAAAAGCCACCAGAACTTGCATGCTATTTCTTTCCCTCTTTTTTCTATCAAAAAAATCTTCCAAAAGTCAAACACTCAGATATGAATGGGGAATGAATGACCAGTCCCCTCTGTGATGTGATCAGTTCAGCCCATTCATAAGAATGCACATTTGTCCCAAGGAGATATCTCTGATGTTATATATGTAACCTTCAGCACAAATCATGAACAATATGCAAATATCCACAAGCAAACAACAAGCATTGTTGCTCTCCATATCTGCCTGGGTTCTCCTGCTCTACAGTACTTTGAAGATAGAGCGTGACTGCTCTCCTTTAGAATATGATCAGCTGTAGCACATTCCTATTGGAGGAAAACCATCAGTTTTGTCCCAAGAGACATCTTTGATGTTCTGGAATTAGGCTTTTGCTTCATTGGCACAAATTGTTGAGTGTTATGCAGATGTGCATATCCAAACAGCAAGAATTGATATCGAAGCACATTCTTTTCCTCAAAGAATTCTGGGCACTGTAGTTTACCCGTCACAGAGTTACAATTCCCAGCAACCCTCGACAAACTACAGTGCCCAGAATTCTTTGATGGAAAGAATTATGCTTTCAAGGCAGAGTGTATATGCAGCCCTTATCTGCCTCAGTTATCATCCTCCATGCTGTTCTAATTAAAATGGTATGTACCTTCAGCCATTCATCAGCCCTGAATGTTTATAAAGTTTTATTGACATTAGGCAGAGACCCCCTATGTTATTTTAGACATCTTCTGAGGCTTTTTTCTAATTTCAGCAAGTCTACCCAGACATATAATTTAGTGACCTACCTTCGTTTGAAAAGTTTAACTTACTGTGTCTGTCTTTGCATAATTATTTTATGTGTAATTGTTTTCTTTATAGTTTTGTGGGTTTCAGTGTTTCATCTACAGTATTATTATGCACATCTCTTCAAGAGCGGTTTCATTGAGCAGTTTAGAAATATTTCCAAATTAATTACAGTGGTATCTTGGTTCTCAAACTTAATCCGTTCCAGAAGTCTGTTCCAAAACCAAAGCGTTCCAAAACCAAGGTGCGCTTTCCAATAGAAAGTAATGCAAAATGGATTAATCCATTCCAGGCTTTTAAAAACAACCCCTAAAACAGCAATTTAGCATGAATCTTACTATCGAGACCACTGATCCATAAAATGAAAGCAGTAATCGAACTGTACTATAAAATAAATAAGACAGTATCGTAGATGATAAAAATTAAAAATAAATATTTTTCATACCTGCACTGATGATAGTCATTGTTTGGATGGGGGGCTTTTATCCATTTCCGCAGTCACACAATCAATCAATCAGTAGCTGAACTAGGTTCCACACAGTCACAAAAACAAATTAACCAAAAAAGCCTCAAAAACAAAAACGCAAAATACCGGTAAATAGCAAAAACAAAAGTGCCAAACTCAATCCGTTCCGGAAGTCCGTTTGACATCCGAAATGTTTGAAAACCAAGGCGCAGCTTCTGATTGGTGCAGGCAATAGCCAACAGCCACATTGGATGTTTGGCCTCTGAAAAACGCTTGAAACTGTAACACTTACTTCCAGGTTTTTGGTTTTTTGGAACCAAGGCTTTTGAGAAACAAGGTACCACTGTAAATGAATAAGGGTCATGCACAGCCATGTGGAATCTACCATGAAATATAGAAGAATATTCAGCCAGGTTAATATATTTGCTAGGGCAGAGGGGAGCAGATAATTGTTTCTGCAATAAATGTAAAGTAGACTTAATAAATGCAAACAAATAAGGGAGCTCTGTGTTGCAGACTTGATTCATTGTCTTTGAATTTAGGTCGTGTGGCGGGGACTTGTTTCCTAGCTTTGAAACATCACATTCTTTGGGTACCTTACAGGACGTGAAACAAACAGATTGGTTTCAGGAATGGCCAGACTCCTATGTAAAATGCATCTATAGCTCTGATGACAAAAATGCTCAGAGGCACCTAAGTAGCTGGGCAATGAGGAACACCAACAATCACAACTCGCGCATCTTAAAAAAGTCCTGCCTCGGAGTCGTGGTCTGCAGCAATGATTGCTCAACTTCAGATGGGGGAAAGATGTATCTGAGGCCGGCTATATGTGACAAGGCCAGGCAAAAACAGCAGAGTAAGTATGCTTCTTTGAAAAGGGCTTACATTAGACTTCTTGCAGTTCAATTTGGGTTTCCGCTGCCACAAAAAAACATCTACTGGGTAATCCTGGTTCAGAACCTGACTTGCATTAGACTAGTACATCTCCAGCCACACGTTGGAAGTATCACATCGTGAAGTACATATAATTGTAGGGATGGATGGATATGGCCTTTCCCCCCCTCTCTCTTTCTCTTTTTTCCAGTTCACATTTCGCCTAATAAACACATTTTGCAAGTGATTTTCTTTCACAAATGGATGCATTTTTAAAAGTACACTTTCCCCTTATATAATATATGTGCATTTTTTTAAAAAAAAAGTACACTGAGTTTACTTTAAAGTAAGTGAGCCTAGTTTACAAGCTGATCCTGAGTATTCTTACTTGAACATGAGCCCTGTGTAATTCAGTAAAACAGATCTGCAGGTGTGTACAGAATAGAATATGTACTTGGAAGGTAAAGATTAGGACAAAAATTAGGACAATCATGAAAGAAATATTGTGACACTCATAGAAGATAAATTAATTTCTGGAAGTCTTAATTATTTGATGAAGTTTTGGGGAGAGAATATTCATGCAATCTTCTAAATGGAAACTTTCCCAAAAGAATGCAATTTATTTGGGGCAGAAAGTGAATTAGTTCCACTAAGGATAATATTGTATCTATATCTAATTATAAGGATCATATATTGGTCCTTTACTGAGGAATATCAAAATTATTCAGGCTAAGTGAACATGTATATTTTTTTGATGGTGTAATAACAAACATAAGAGCTTATAGTCTAAGGTAATAAGCACACTCAGAAAATCTCAATAAAATCAAATGGGACTTTATTTCAAGTAGAGGTAAGTAAGGTTGATCAAGATATTATACTGCAATTCAAAGCTGAGAATCCTACAGCACAATCTAATTTCTACACAGAAATATGTTCCATTGAGTTCAATGGGACTTACTTCCAGGTAAGGGGACATAGGTTCACAGCCTTAGACAAGTTTGGCTTTTGTGTTTCATTTGTGCCTACAGCACATTTCACTTTCCAAAGATATTTTACCTGGACACAAGTCCCATTGCATTTATTGGAACACGGGTGGCGCTATGGGTTAAACCACAGAGCCTAGGACTTGCCGATCAGAAGGTCGGCAGTTCGAATCCCCGTGATGGGGTGAGCGTCCATTGTTTGGTCCCTGCTCCTGCCAACCTAGCAGTTCGAAAGCACATCAAAGTGCAAGTAGATAAATAGGTACCGCTCTGGAGGGAAGGTAAACAGCGTTTCTATGCGCTGCTCTAGTTCACCAGAAGTGGTTTAGTCATGCTGGCCACATGACCCGGAAGCTGTACACCGGCTCCCTCGGCCAATAAAGCGAGATGAGCGCCGCAACCCCAGAGTCAGCCATGACTGGACCTAATGGTCAGGGGTCCCTTTACCTTTACCTTTACACCTTTGCTACAAGCAGAGACATCTGCTGTCAATAACCCAACATGAAAAGAGTATATTGTACCCTACACAATGAACTTCTAACATGACATAATCTTAAAACTAAGTTCATTCAAAATAAAATATTTAATGGTACACTTGTTTCAGGAAAATCGTGTCCCAACTGCTATGGGCCCTTGAAGCTTATTCCCTGCCGAGGTCATGGTGGATACCCTGTAACAAACTTCTGGAGACATGAAGGACCATTCATATTTTTTCAGGTTGGTAACAGTATCTGATTTATTCAAGGCAAGCCTGCGGTTATAGCTGAACTGTGCTTGGAAGATGAGCAAACCAGGAAATGTTTCACACTGAGCCAAAGAGAGTATTTAAATTGTTAGTGAGGTATGACACCTCAGGTAAGGGGATCCACAAAAGTTAACCAGTTGGCCATGCTTATACATAAAAACAAGCCTTTTTTTCCAGCTGGAACTCTCTGGAACTCAGTTCCGGCACCTCTTAGGTGGGCGCCATTGCCATTCTAAGAAAATAAGGGAGGTGTTCAGGATGAGTTTCAACACCTCTAGAAAAACAGCATTGCATAAAAACAACCATTTTAAACCATACCAACTGCAAAGGAACTAAGAAAGAGAAACATGAAAATAGTAGGCACATAGAACATTCTCAGCTGAATCCAGGAAAACATCTGCCTCAGTTTTTTGAACCAGATGGTCAAGTCCATAGCACATGTCACAATTCCATTACTTACACATTTACTCAGAAGTAAGTCCCACTAGGTTCAATGGTGTTTACTCTTAAATAAATAAAATAACAACAACCACTAGTAGTATTATTAGTATTAGTATTATTTTGTATCCCACCCAGCCACTCTGGGCAGCTTCCAGCAGAATATAAGAAAGCATAACAAAATATCAAACATTAAAAGCTTTTCAATACAGTCGTACCTTGGAAGTCAAACGCAATCCATTCCAGAAGTCTGTTCGACTTCCAAAACTTTCGGAAACCAAAGCGTGGGTCCTGATTGGCTGCAGGAAGCTCCTGCAGCCAATCGGAAACCACAGAAGCCCAGTCGGACGTTTGGCTCCCCAAAATAGTTTGTAAACTGGAACGGCCACTTCTGGGTTTGTGGCATTCGGGAGCCAAAACGTTCAAGAATTAAGCTGTTTGTTTTTGTTTTTTAAATAATATTTATTATTTTTTGAAAAACACTAAAAAAAGAAAAGAAAAAAAGAAAAAGAAAAACAATACAATACAACACATCAAATTAACAGAACAAGACTAAGACAATAAAATAAATCAACCACTTTCATTATCCCATCTTTCATTCACTTATTTCCACGACCTCCTCACACCTCCCTTTTTGTATTCCACTTCTATTAATTATTTCAGCAGTTCCTTTCCATCCTCCTCTGTTTTCTATCCTATAATTATCTTAACTCATTCTAACCTTATTTTTTTCCTTTAATACTCTATTAACCTATCTGTACTTAATTCCTTATAATATTTCTACTAAAGCCATATAACTTCATTTCAACATTTTTCTAACATTCATTAATTTTACAATATTTCTGTAGATAGTCTTTAAACTTTTTCCAGTCTTCTTCCACCAACTCCTCTCCCTGGTCTCGGATTCTGCCAGTCATTTCCGCCAGTTCCATGTAGTCCATCAACTTCATCTGCCATTCTTCCCGGGTGGGCAAATCTTGTGTCTTCCAATACTTCACGATGAGTATTCTTGCTGCTGTTGTTGCGTACATAAAAAAGGTTCTATCCTTCTTTGGCACCATTTGGCCGACCATGCCCAGGAGAAAGGCCTCTGGTTTCTTCAAGAAGGTATATTTAAATACCTTTTTCATTTCATTATAAATCATCTCCCAGAATGTCTTAATCCTTGGGCACGTCCACCAAAGGTGAAAGAATGTGCCTTCAGTCTCATTACATTTCCAACATTTATTGTCAGGCAAATGGTAAATTTTTGCAAGCTTGACTGGTGTCATGTACCACCTATAAATCATAAGAATTAAGCTGTTTGAAAACCAAGGTATGACTGTACAGGGCTGCTTTCAGATATCTACGGAAGGTCATATAATTGTTTATGTCCTTGACAGCTGACGGGAGGGTGTTCCATAGCACGGGCATGACTACTGAGAAGGCCCTCTGCCTGGTTCCCTGCAACTTCACTTCTCACAATGAAGGAACTGTCAGAAAGCCCTTGGAGCTGGACCTCACTGTCCAAGCTGAACAATGGAGGTGGAGATGCTCCTTTAGGTACACAGGGCTGAGGTTGTTTAGGGCTTTAAAGGTCAACACCATGGCATGCAGAGCACTGCAGCCACAAATAAGCAAAAATGAGCTATTGATATGAGCCTTGGTATATGAATGTAGAAGACAACTAAACATCCACGTGGGAATCATCATGGAAATCATGGTAGCATTTTCCTCCAAGATAGAATTTCAAAAAGTTATGTCAGAATTCAGTCACATAACCTTTCGGGGAAAATAGGAGTAAAAAATAGAAATAGAAATAGATAACTCCGATTATCATTCCTGTGCCTTTATAGGTGACTATGCTCTTAATTTTGACCAAGGATAAAGTTTTTTATTGCAGTCAATGACCAGTATCAGGATAAAATCACCAATTTTGACTAGTCTATGAAGCCAGATTTCCCCTGCGGAATAACCTATTCTATACATGGATCTTTTGAGATGGTTTTGCCATTTCAGCAAATTCGGCAACCCGCTTCCATTTAAATTGAAACTTTAATCTAAAATGTAATGAGTTGCCTGAAGAAAGCCTATGCTATGCTATACATCCAACGAGACAGGCAAGCCATTTTGGATTCTACACCCCTTTCCTTGAGAGCATTGTGTTGAAAACTGCCTTGTGGTTTTATGCCCCTATGCCTTCTTCACTTGCTGTTATAAAGTCAAAGGGGGCTCACGATCATCCAAGGCCCGAAACAAAATCAGAAGCTGAAGCAAGACGATCGATACAAAAAGCACACGCCCCAAGTTCTCCAAGACTTAAACGGAGCAGAGATGCTGAGGTAAACGCTTGTTTTTTTAACTACCAACAAAATGTCTGCCATTATGGCAGGTGGATTGAAGGAGGGTAACGAGGACTGCAGTGTGTCAAGTGAGGGACCTCTATCAATGAGGGCTAGGCAGGTTTCTCCCTCACTGTTGCAGTGTACTCCCAACTGCAGTGGTGTACTATTCTCTCATCTGAATGAATAGCAACCATTCAATCATATGGAAAATAGTAATTTGGGGATACGATGTGGTAGAGTGGGGGCTCTCTACCCCTGGTGACTCTTCATAGGCCTTTCCTGGGTTCTGTTTCTTGGTCACACAGGAAAGGTGTTGAAGATATGGATATATGTTGGGATACTGGGTTTTATTCTGTACAGTGGTACCTCTAGTTACAAACTTAATTCGTTCTGGAGGTCCGTTCTTAACCCGAAACTGTTCTTAACTAGAGGTGTGCTTTCGCTAATGGGGCCTCTTGCTCCCGCTGCGCCGCTGGCACACAATTTCCATTCTCATCCTGGGGCAAAGTTCTCAACTCGAGATAACTCTTTCAGGTTAGCAGAGTTTGTAACCTGAAGCGTTTGTAACCTGAGGCGTTTGTAACTCGAGGTACCACTGTATAATAAAAGCCAGCATCCTGCATATATCTGTCTTTTCAATCTGACTTCAGGTTTCATTATTACCGTATTTTTCCATGTATAAAACGACCTTTTTTCCTGAATTTTTTGGTGATAAATTGAGGGTCGTCTTATACCCGGGTTAATATGTTAAGTAAGCGAGGGCTGGTGCTGCGGCGGTATCAGGGAAATGTCGGAGAGGAGGCTGCTTACCCGCTCTTCCCGGCTTAGGAAGAGTAGTTGGTGAGCGCCAGTATGCGGTGTATTACGGTACCAGTTCCGTCAGCCAGAGTGGGAGATCGTCAAAAAGCTGCTCGACAGCTCAGCGAACTTACAAAAGAAGCTCAACAACTGTTGAGGGCTCCCAAAAATAGGGATTGTCTGATACATGGGGTCATGTTATACACGGAAAAATACGGTACTTCACTTTTGGGGGTCTTATATGAGTACAAACAGTGCGAGAACTGTGAACCATCGTGTGTACAGTGCTTGACAGAGCAGAGGATGACAGTTCCCTGCCCCAGGGGGCTTACACTCTAAATTCAGACACTGGAGAAACAACGGAGGAAGAGAAGGGATTGGGTAAACAGAGAAGAAATACAGTAGGGGCGGGGAAAGCTGTGGCCCTCCAGATTTTGGTGGTCACCTCCACATCACTCTTGGACAACTTTTAACAGGAATGGAGAATCTTGGGAACTGTAGTTTGTTACATGTGCTGGGAATTGTATGTCTAGGAGGCAGCACCCTTAAACTGCAGCCACGACTGTTTCGGTGGTGTAAGAGTGCTTTAAAGATATGACGCGACCCCACCACTTCCATCATCCCTGACCATTGATGATGCTGATTGTGGGATCTAGACTCCAACAATATACTGAGGGCAACAGCTTGGGGAAGGCTGACCTACTGTAACTAAGCATCTAACTAAGCCTACTTGGCTTTTCAGGGACACATGCTTAGGCGTGGTGCATCATTTCCAACCTACCAAAGTCTTTCCTTAGACCTGTGACAGACGGTCAAGAGGAGAAGGAAGGAAAATGTTTCTGCATAGCAAATGCCTTGACAAACAGATATCTGTATCAATAAAGATATGTTGCCTGCAGGTTTTAAATTATTTTACCTAACTTCAGTCCCATTGATCTATATTTATGTTAATTTCAATGGGATTTTACTGCACTTTAATGCACCTGCAGCAAGTTGAGCGATCTCTCTGACATCTACCAGTAAATGCTGTCACAGTGAGAGAATACTGACTTCTGATGTGGAGCAACTTAGGAAAGGGAGTGGGGGAAATCACCCCTAAATTATGCACAAGGAAGGAGGCTACCCTAGTATGTTCCATGACCTAAAAAAAAGAACAGGCTAAAATTAGATGGATTTTCAACATTTTCCTTGGAGTGTCACATTACTTTTTAACTTAGGGATGGGCTCTAAAGAATTTGCCACTAGCAAAATGTCTTCACAAAGTCCCCATACAGCAGAAGCGTGTTTTGCTATGTCTTATTTCTGCAAGCGGTAATTTACTACTAATTATCAAAATACACCGATATGGAATAATAATAATAATAATAATAATAATAATAATAATAATAAATGGCCGCAAGTGTCTTATCAGTGGCCCAATGTGGGTTTTTTTGGGGGGTGGAGGATTAAACTCGCCCCAGTTATAATCCTACAGCTGTGGTGTTCAAAGCAAATTCATTGTTCTGTGCCCAAGAGAGGTGTTTAGCAAATGTCTGGTGTTTGTTCAAACCATATAGGCAAACGCTATGCCTTTGCAGACTGCCTTGAAATGTGGAGAACTGAAGTTGCGAAAGATGAGGAAAATGAGAAAATGAGAAAAATGAGAAAAATGAGAAATTGAGAAAGACTGAAATTGATAGGCTTGGCCATCCCTAATCCAGACACAGGTTTCTAGCCACAGTGACACGTTTGTCTCTTTTCATACATTTAGGTCAAACCACGTGCAGGCAAAATAACTTTGATTTATGCAGTTGTAAAATACATGTTCTGATGAGGGGGTGCGATCCTTTTTAGATTAGAGAGCTGTTTGGCTCCCTGGGTTTCTCTGGGTTACATTGCATAGCTGCAGGAGCGGAAGGAACGGACCAGGAATCTCTGGGTCACTTATGACAATACACTGGCAGCCAGCTTTTGCAAAAGCAGCTGTTCATGCAAGTGATTTACCCACATGAGTAATGTAACATTGGAGTGACTAATTTATAAAAAAGATCGCCCCCTTTCTTCTGCAAACTGGAAAATCACAACATGGCAATTTTCCAGTTCATGAAAGAAGAGCTGTCGGCACTATGAGCAGCACTGTAGAATTTGTGGTGACTCTGCATCGTATTTACTGTATAATTCCCTCTATTAGCAATGTTTTTGGGGTGAGTGCTGATTTGTCCCCACACACACACACACATGAGGAGGGAGCATCAGCAGGCTTAGGAGAACTCCAAGGTTTGCAGAAACCCCAAAAACCTTCAGAAAAAAGATCTAGTAAGGTCTGAGCTTCCTCAGTCACTAGCCAGAGAATGCTATCTAGTGGGGGGAGGGAGGAGAAGGGATTCAATGGAGTATTCTGTAAGAGGGCTTGGCTGGCTGGCAGAACCCTGAACTGGAGCACTTTGTCCATTTGGTTGGTGCTCCTACCTGTCTCTATTATTTGTGCCTGCGGCAGTGAAGCTGAACTTGTGCGACGGTTCAGAATATCCAGTTGTTCAAGGAAGGAAATCATTTTCAGTCTAGTTTCTGTGAGGGAAGGGAGAGTTGTCAGTTTGGCTGGGATTAAAAACTCTCACACAGAGGATGAACAAGGACCACTGTAGGGAAGATAACGAAGGAAGAGCCCAGAGGAAAGGAAACCGAATGAAAGGTACTAAGGGGGAGGGGAATTAAGGAAAGATAAATGAGAATGAAGCTTAAGGAAAGGGATTGAAGGCAAGGAAGAACTAATAAAACAGAGAGGTGACGCTGGATAAACATAGCTGTGTTAAAAGTGAGAAGGGGCTGCATGGTTTGGTTGGAGAGACAACAGAGTGCTAGAAGAACTCGTCAACTGTCCCAGCTACTAAGTGACAGTTGAGCAAAGTAGGCAGTGGCCTGAGGAAACAAATATTCAGTAGAGACATGAAATTAAATAAAAGAGGGGCCAAGTAGAAGTGGAGCAAAATTCCCATAGATGAAGACGGGGTGAGGAACTAGTGGCCCTCCAGATGTTGTTGAATTACATTATCCCTGACTGGGGATATTGACTGGGGTTGATGGCATTCTTGTCTAAACATCTGGAGAGCTACTGCTTACTTTGCTCAGGTTCCCCATCCTTGGCCTAAGAGATAGGAGGAGCTGTGCACTGTTTGCAAGATTGAGAACCATAAGGTTTGCAAGAGAGAAAAGCATAAGGACATAGGAACAGGACTGGCCCACCCCTGAGGCTCGGTGAGGCAGTTGTCTCGGGTGGCAGGTTGAGGCCAGCTGTGAGGGGTCACAGATCCAGGCCTCTGAGGAGCACACAGTGTGCTACCTCCTGCATTTGTCACCTGTCTCCTCTGCTCCCACCTCCCCAGTTCCATTTGCTCCTCTCTGGACTCCTTTTTTCTTCCCCACCACCTTCAGTGCACCAGGGCTTCCCTGGGCTACCTCTGGTCCCCTCAGGTGGAGGTGGAAGAGTGCGGGTAGAGAAGGAAGTAGCAGGGGGAACGCCATTTTCTACTTTGCCTCAAGCAGTAGAATATCCTGGGATGGCCCTGCATAGGCATGTCAGGCTAAGAGAAGTCTGCTACTTTGTGACCTGGCAACCTTAAGGGGGCAAAAAGGGAAAACAAGGTGGATGAATTTCACATACAGAGTTGAACAACCCAGCTAAAGTCCTTTAGCTGCAGCCTTCTAGTTCAATAGTATCAATCTGAGAAATTAAGAGGGCTTTTTGTTTGGCTGCATGATATTATGATGCATTTTTCTCTCTTAAGTCCCTGACAGGTGAGAAGCCAAACCAGGACACTTTGCCATTAATAGTCTCCAAACAGGAAGACCTTATGTCACAAAGTACCTTCATGGGACAAGAGCAGGTGTTGAACGATTGCTTGTCTCTTGCCAAAGGGTACAGTTCAAGAAAATCCTCTTATCTAATAGAGCACACTCCGGACGTAGACTGCAGCAAATACCTGGACAGGTGCAAACAGATCAGAAGCAGAGAATATAGCTACAGAGGCCCAGCTGAACCCTCAGTATTTGCATATTCTGAATACAGAGAGCAACAAACCTGGAATAAGACTGTGGGCCTGGGAAGAAACCCATTAGCAGAGAAATACTGCAGCGGCTCTCCGACAGCCCTGGCGGGTCTACACTGTGAAACCCTGGCTTCCATAAGTGCGGTTGATGCAGGCATTCAGCATGCTCCAACCAAGTGGGACCCGATGGCAAAAGTTGGCTACCAGTCCTTCAGATCTAATGTAGGTACATTCGGAGGAGAAGGCATGTATGAAGGAAAGCCACACCTGCATTATAACAGCAACCACGCTCCTTCCTCCTGCTGCCCGATCTCTCCAGAGGAGCCCTGCCTCATTGCAGACGCTGCCCATCACTATTACCAGAGCTCCTTGCCCCTGAAAGGAAACGAGTGGCACTTTGAAGAAGAAAGGAAATACACAAATCTGGACCACTGCAACAATGAGATGTTTTTTAACTTCTTCCCTTTGCGATGACACTGACACCTTTCCATTGTTGCTCACCTCTTCTGTATCTCTTGGCAGTGCCACGGATTGTCTGCTATCCTGAACCTTGGGTGGTTACTTATGCGTTGTTGTTGTTGTTTAGTCGTTTAGTCGTGTCCGACTCTTCGTGACCCCATGGACCAGAGCACGCCAGGCACTCCTGTCTTCCACTGCCTCCCGCAGTTTGGTCAAACTCATGCTTATAGTTGAGGCAAATAAAGTTGCTGATGTTGTAATGCTGTTCCCCTCACTTTATAGAAAAGAAGGCGGATTGGATTTGTCACATCAGAGAACAGGTTCCCTTTCCTATAAAGAGGAAACCTTTTCTCCAAAGGTTGTACAGCAGTGCATAGGCACATTCATGTTATAATATGCATAAAACACTCATGGAGAGTTGCTCTTCTGTATACATTGGCTCTTCAGGTCCTTTTCAGTGTACTGGAGGGAAGGACCAGTGAAGTCCCTCGCTTACATTCCTCTCTTGGGTGCAATGTTTTGCATGGTTGCAGCGCATTGGGTCAGCTACTGAAAAATGCCGACTGCAGCTCGTAAACAGAGCCATGTAAACCAGTACAATTGTCCTTATTTTGACCTGAGCGGTGATCTTAAAAATGCTGACCTGGCAACACACTTTACTAAAATAGATATTCTTGCTTCTCAATAATATGCACAGAAAGCACAACTACGCTGCGCTAACAAACGCAATATGACCTTAAATCAGTTTGAATATATGGAGTGAATGCCTAGACGTGTCTACTGAGATGTTAGTCCCATACTTCAGTCCAAAGAGATTTATGGCCAGGACAGTGAGTACAGTGGTACCTCGGGGTAAGTACTTAATTTGTTCCGCAGGCCCGTTCTTAACCTGAAACTGTTCTTAACCTGAAGCACCACTTTAGCTAATGGGGCCTCCTGCTGCTGCCACGCCGCCGGAGCACAATTTCTGTTCTCATCCTGAAGCAAAGTTCTTAACCTGAAGCACTATTTCTGGGTTAGCGGAGTCTGTAACCTGAAGTATATGTAACCTGAAGCGTATGTAACCTGAGGTGCTGCTGTATAGGATTGCAGCCCCTGATTTTAAGAGGCCACAGATCCCTCTGTATGGGAGATCTATTCTTTTATTTTTGCCACCAGAAGTTTCTCCTTCCCCATCATCAGAAGCTGCCTTTTCTAGCTGAAATTTCCTTCCAGTTTGGGCTTGTTTAGGCCCTTTGTTAGAACAAGACTACATTGAGGGCATTGCCCATACCACTGATACATCCGTTAAATGCACATTTAATGCACACGACTTCCCCCAAATAATCCTGAGAACTGTTGTTTGTTCAAGATGCCGGGAGTTGTAGCTCTGTGAGGGATCGCTTCTGAGGGTTTGGAAATGCTACATATATCAAATCCTAAAGACGTTCAGGCTTCCCCAGTTTCCAGAACCGTACCTATTTTCAAATAAACTGAGGTGTGCTCGCGCTATAAAATTTTATTAATACAAGTCTGGGATGAGAATGTTTCAGACCTTGCAGCAGTAAACTACTTTATAGTACCTCACAGGGTGCTATTATTTGGCTGTTCTCAATTGGGCTCAGTCAACTACAATTTGCCTTTTGTTCGCCGGTCTCTGCCTTCTTAGATCCCCTTTGCCTCCCTCCCAAAATACCTTGTTACTATGGGAACCACGCTGTCAGCAGCAAGAGTGGCATTTAGTGACATTGGCAGGAGCCGGCTAAGTTGGATTTATGGGATGTTTCAAAATTTACACAGCAATTTGCGAGCCTGTAATTGGTTTCACAACCACAACAGGTGCCTCACAGTGTGACAGTGGCTTTTCTAGCTATAGGTCAGCAGAGGGAAATGTAGGTTAGTCCGTCAACTTATGCCTCAGCTCCAGATAACCTCACATTTTGTGAATTTTACTCTGTTCTGTGAAGTCTACGAATACGTCCCTCGCAAACACCACCACACATGAAAACGTTTGCAACTGTGTGGATCCAAAAATGTTAAAACCTCTTGCGCTACCAGAACATGAATGTTGGATACCACTCACAATAATTAAATTGAATAAACAAATTAAAAACACCTTTTTATAACCGATTTTTATTGGTTTTTAAACAAATGCAAGAACCATCAAACACTTATCCAGCAGTACATCTAATACTCTATGCATTGACGCTACTGATAAGAAAACTAATGCAGTTGTACCTTGGAAGTTGGATGGAATCCGTTCCAGAAGTCCATTCGACTTCTGAAATATTCAAAAACTGAAGTGCTGCTTCTGTTTGGCTTCAGGAAGCTCCTGCAGGCAATCAGAAGCCATGGAATGTGGGCATTCGGCTTCCACAAATCGTTCACAAACCGGAGCAGTCACTTCTGCGTTTGCAGGGTCCAGGAGCCAAAACGTTTGAGAACTAGGCTGTTCAAAAACCAAGGTATTGGGGATTTGTTGGGGAAGAGATAGGACCCCACCCCACCCCAGCAAATGATATTTCAAATAATGAATACTGAACATAGTTCAACAGCTACCAAGGACACATCTTTGATGACCTTCATCTGCACTGAGACACAGCACAAGAGGAAACATCAGTGGGGTGTAGACTATGACCTGGAAGACCAGGGTTCAAATCTTTGCTCAGCCATGAAACGAACTGGATGACCTTTGGCCAGTCAGTCTCTCTCTTGTCCTAACCCACTTCATAGGGCTGTTGTGTGGCATAAAGAAGCTGGAGAACACTGCGCGATCTTGAGCTCCAAAAGCTGGCATTTAAATGAGAGTGAGATATGAGAAGCCTAAATGTTATCACAGATGGTTTGTAACAGGAATAAGGAAAACTATTCAGTCTCCCACTTAACTCCACAACGAGAAAGCACACACTGAAAATCAGCATGCAACACAGTGAGCATAGTTTTGAAAAAGGACAACTGCCCTTTAGAGTTCTTTGCCACCACATAGTTGGATCAAATTAATAAAAGACAGTAGTAATATGAGTCGATACTCACAAAGCTGATCAGGTCACTCAATACACTTTTCTGAAAACTGAAAAAGACTGAAAGGAAGTGAAAAAGAAGCTGTGCAGAACTCAGTGCATAGTGAAATTTAATAGGCCCAACACAGTGATATTTCTGCCCTTTCTTACAGTCCAGGGTAGCCAATGGGATGCCTTCTCAATGTTGTTGGACTACAACTCCCATCAGTCCTGGCCAGCATGGGCAATGGTCAGGGATGATGGGAGGTGACAGTCCAAAATATTATGAGAGCACCGTAACTGCAGCGAGAATACTACTGGCCCAAAAATGGAAACAGGAACAACTACCGACGTTAGAAGAATAGAGAATGAAACTGATGGACTATGCAGGATTAGATAAACTAACGGGGAAGATCAGATATTTACGTGACCAAAAGTTCATCGAAGATTGGGGAAAATTTTCAGATTATTTGAAATGTATATGTGAGGAGCAAACAACGCTAGTGGGATTTCAAGAAGCTCTGTGAATGTTTGAGGAATATTGTGTTGAAGAAAAATAAGAGGGTGAAGGTATATAAAATGCAATATAAAAATTAGGAAATGTGTAATTAAAAAATTGAATAATTGATGATTGTTAGAGAGGCTGAAGGAAGTCCAAAAGAGAAAATATGTGATAAATTTAGATTGGATATTATAAATGTATATTGGAAAATTAATAAAAATTATTTATAAAAAACCCCACAAAATATTATGAGAGCACCATCTTGGCTGCCCTTGTTACAGTCCATCGCACAAACAATACCAGAGGGAAAAGAGCAAAGTAATGTGAGGTAACAGGTTCCAGCCCCTTTGAAGAAGACAGGTATGGCTTGCCTTGTCATATTGCTGCATGAACAAGTTATAGCTGCTGCCATTTTCCTTGTGCACGGCTAGGAAAGGTCCAAGAGTCTCTCCCTGTATTTTAAGAAGTATTTCCCTGGTCTTACCACTCCAGGTTATCTACCTCATTCATCTCTTTTCAAAGACATGGATGTTTGTGAGTTAATTGAAGAATAGGAGGTAGAGCAACAGATTCAGATAAAAGGAATGCAAGGTAACAGTAAAAGTCAGTCCAAGCAGGGATGCCAATTTGAATAACACATGGGGGGGGGACAGTTAAGCCCCCACCAAATGAGGCGGTGCGCACACACCATTTGAAAGGCAATGTCCATTAATTGGGGGAGCCCAACCCCCTCTAATATTTTACAGGAGGAGCCAAAGACCCCTCAGCCCCTAGAAGTTGGCTCCTATGAGTCCAGGGTAGTGCTGCTGATTTATTTGGGATATAACCTTTTGAGCTGACGAGCTCAAAACTATCAGTGACAACTAATCTTGATGTCCGTGCTCTCTTTCCCACTGTCAGAAGAAAGGACTGCTCCACACAGTCCACGATTAAACTACGAAATTCTCTCCCACAAAATGGCCACCAACTTGGATGGCTTTCAAAGAGGAGTCCACAAATTCATGGAGGATAAGGCTGTCCATCTCCGCTAGCCTCAAGAGCTACGTTCCACCTCAACTGTTGGTAGCAGCAGGACTCCAAATGTTGGTTTGTGAGTGGAGAGAATGCTGTGACATTCAGTTCCTTCTCGCCGTCTTAAAACAAGTCACCCATAAAGCAGCTTCCCATTTCTGTTGGCTGCCATACTTAAATCATGATCTATTCAGGGAGAGTCCAAGAAGCGACATTCAAGGAACTGGTGTTGAAATATGATGGAACAAAACTGATGGTTGAGGGGCGAGCCTCAGAGAGTAGCTGCTTGCACCTGCTGCATTAGAGGCCAAGTTGCTATAAAGCCCATTTATTTTAAGTCTCTAAGGGGAAAGGGGCACTTTCGTTTCTTTATTTTATTTGAGGATTTAGAAACCACTTCCCAATGAATGCTTCTGAAGCAGTGCTCAACACACACACACACACACACACACACACACACACACACATATATTTAAAAGCCCAACGTTATCTATTAGAAATAAAAATACATAACAATCTAAAAA